AAAAAAAAAAAAAAAAAAAAAAAAAAAACCAAATGGGTTGAAAAGGGATAAGATTGTCATCACAAGAATACTTTTTGTGGCCAAATTCCATCTCTCTCCATTATATTCTCCATTAAAGCTACAAGATATCTAACACCCATAATTATTTTGAACTTCACATGAACTAGACACAAAAAGTTCTGATTTTTATTTACCCATTGCTCTTCTACAAACTGAGAGGAGAACAACAAGGATGGCGAGGGCGGCGACGACCCCGACGATGATCGCAACGGTCTTCCCTGCTTGGTCGTCACTCGAAGAAACTGAATTGAAGAACAAACCAAAAGAGAATTGAATGAGAATTCACAAAAGAATAATTCCAACTTGCATTTTGATTCACTAATTTTGGACCCATCTTTTTGTTTTTGTTGTAAGTGGGAGCTTTTTGGAGGCAAAAGATGAAGAACATTGGAACAAAATTGGGTGAATGATTAAGCAACCATTCATAAAGTGGCATGTTCTTGATCTAATGATTTATAATTTCAATAGTGCAAACACTTTTTCAAATCAGAATTGCTAGCAAATGGGTAAAAAATGCTTAAAAAGAAAGCTAATTAAAGTGGGAAGAATACCCTTAAAGGCTTTACTTTTTAAAAAGAATTTACTTCTTGTTGACCCTTTGCTCGTAAAATGTGAAGAATGTTCTCGTCTTCTTGGACACGACATGAAATGAAACGAACAAAGGTTCGTAGAACACTAAAAACTAGAATCGAAATTAGGGTTTTGAGTATGTTTAGCTCGGAGGGATACCTAATTTTGATTGTACAAGTAAACAGGTTTTGATAAAAGAAACTCGAGGGTAGCAATACGGTTCACAAAATCTTATATTATGTTACGGGTCGGTAATTTATCTAGTTTTTTGAGACCGTTAACCCTACAAGGATACCTAATTTTGATTGTACAAGGAAACAGGTCGTGATAAAAAAAACTCGAGGGTAGCAATAGGGTTCACAAAACCTTATATTATGTAATGGGTCGGTAATTTATCTAGTCTCTGAGACCATTAACCCTACCACTTAAACCTGATCAATAGTTCGAGAGCACTTTCGAGAAAACGGGGAAAAAGGAGAGGAAGGATTAGGGTTATTTTGGTTTTTACTTACCAGAAGAATTAGGGTAGAAGCCAGAGGCCCAATAGCGAGCATAACACTGTCCCAAGAAGACATCAACAGCAACAGCTGAACCACACAAGCTCTTCAACTTCCCAACAACATCACCAAGACATGATGAACAATCTTGTGAACTCAAATCCTCCAAACATTGAGCAAAACCCTGAACCAGCCCTGAACTACTAACCCTAAACCCGTTCCCGGACCCTGCCCCAGCTTGCATATCAGCGAGCACGTCGTCTCGCCTCCGAAAGAACTCGACGTCGGTGCTCGAGCTTTGACTACACTTCTTGTATCTCACACTTGTATCCAACTTGCCCAAGAAATCAAAGTGCTCATATCTCACATAACAACCCTCCAATTGTAGGGATGCCCCATAGGACTTAGGGCATATCAAGTGAACTTGGTTGACTCCACTTTGAATACACTTTGAACAATCAGCTAAACCCAAGTCCCCTCTACATTGATACACTCCAAAAATTGCTCCTTCACCCAAAATTGAGGAATCATTTCCAATTGCAAAGGCATTGTATGTGAGTTGGGAAGATGAGGAGAGCATTGATGATAGCAAAGCTTTGAAATTTGATTCAAATTGGGAATTGGGTTGGTATTTTTCATTGGAACAGCCTGCATAAATGAAGAGATGGGCTCTAATTGGGAAGCCATGGGAGATGGAACACCAAAATAGAAGAAATAAGAGAAAGGAATAGAGATGAAAAGGTGATTGAAGGGTTTTGTTTGAGTGAAATTCAAGGTTTCTTCTCATCATCTTTTCTTTATCTTTTGTTTTTGCTTTGGAATTTGAGGGTCTCACAAAACCCTTCTCTCTTGTTTTTCTTTCTTTCTTTCTTTCTTTTTAGGGGTTTTGGTGGTTCCCTTTTGAGTTCTTCCCATTTTGGAGCCTTTTCTATTAAGAAAAGACACCCTAAATATTCTTGTTTTTGCTCGTGGCCCCTACTCGTGTTATGCATTTTCCAGTCATACGAACACTTTTTGTAACTGTCCAAACCCACCAGTAGCAGATAGTGTCTTCTTTGAGTTTCCTTTTTGGGCTTCCCCTCAAGGTTTTTAAAACGAGTCTGCCAGGAGAGGTGGAGAGGGTTCTACACCCTTGTAAATAATGTTTTGTTCCCCTATCTAACTGATGTTATATCTCACAATCCACCCCCTTTGAGGCCCAGCTTCCTCGCTGATACTCGTTCCCCTCTCCAATCGATGTGGAATCTCACAATCCACTCCCCCTTCAGGGCCAATGTTCTCGTTGGCATTCATTCCTCTCTCCAATTGACGTGGGACCTCACAATCCACCCCCTTTAGGTCTTAACATCCACGTTGGCACACCACCTGGTGTCTGATACCATTTGTAACAGTTCAAGCCCATCGCTAACAAATATTGTCCTCTTTGAGTTTTTCCTTTTGAGCTTCCTCTCAAGGTTTTTAAAACTCGTCTGATAGTAAGAGGTTTTCACACCCTTGTAAAGAACGTTTGGTTCTCGTGGACACTTTTGAATGAGAGAGAGAGAGAGGAGAGAGAGAGAGATTCTTTGGTTTTCATTTAACTCAAATTTCAAAGCATTTTATTTGTTACTCATCATTTTGTTCATTTGTTCTTCAAAATTAAAGAGTGAAGGGTTTGGGTCCTTTTCTTTTGAAAAAATGGGTGAGAATCTCATGTAAGGCTTTTATTAGTGTCATTGGTCAGTAGAAGAAAGGGAGAAAAAAGAGATAAAAAAGAAGGGACTTTAGGGGAAATCAACCTTTAGCATCCAAATCCTTGCTTCATTTATATATATGTATGCTATCTTTTAAAGTAGGGCCACGATTTCAAGAACGCTTTATTATGGGTCGGATGGTTTCTTAAATAATGAAAATGAAGATCGATCGGCGAGTGACAACAGGTGTGTCAATATGAATATGTCCTTTAAGTTCTTCTAGAGTGAAGGGTTTTGTTCTATGATTTTTCTTATTCTTAGGTCATTTAATGACATACAACAAAGCTCGTGCTGCTGTCGGAGTCTACTTTGAGCATAAGCACTCATGACTTTGCTTTGGGCTTTCCAAAAGGCCTCATACCAGTAGAGTTAGTATTCCTCACTTATAAACCCATGATCATTCTCTCTAAATTAGCCGATGTGGGACTTTCATCATCTAACTGCATGCACATTGTGTTAGTCTAAGCCTTAATGATAGTCGATTCAACTTGGATTAAACTATGAAAATTTATAATTTTTTTAAAAAAATTAAAAATTGAAAATTATAACGTGGTTCGGAAAATAAACTGGGCTTAACCTAACCGAATAAAACAACCCAACCCAACCAAAGCCCATTTAAATTAGTAAACTGGACTTTAGTAGATCCAAATTGAGCCCAACCCAACCAAGGCCCATTAATGGTTGGACCATGGTCCATTAAGTTTCCATGGGCTCGGCCCATCTAAATTAGTAAGGTTTTGTCGAATATTCATTAGGACTTGACATTTTTGTTAAATGGCCATGAAATTTTTTTTTTAATTATTACTAATTTTTTATATTTAGTATTAACAAATAATTTTACCCAGACTAAAATACCCTTCAAAATCAATAGCTAAACTAAATTATGAGTAATTAAAAATAAAAATAAAAATAAATATATTTAAAATATAAATCTTGTTTCATCTCTTCGATAGTCTTTTTTTCGGTGCACACTACCATCGTGTAATAGCGCAAGTCCTTTTTCGACTTTTTCTTTCGGGTTTCCCTTCAATATTTTAAAACACATCTACTGGGAGAAGATTTTCACACCAGGTTTTGTTCTCATTTCCCTATCAGATATTGTCCTCTTTATGCTTCACAGAATACTCATTTCCTCTCTCCAACCAATGCGGGATCAGCCAACCACTGCAGATATTGTCATTTCTACGCTTCACCCTTATAAGAAATGCTTCATTCCTCTCTCAAACGTGGGTTTAGCACACTAGTAGTAATAGATATTAACTTCACCATTATAAGAATATTTTTATTTCTCTCTCCAATCAATATGAGATTTCACACACTGTCACCAAACGCTCTTTCCAAATTACCTCTTTATCCTTGTGGCATCGGTTCTTTGAAAGATGCATCTCCATAAAGTGGAGTTAGATATTCACATAGCGGAATGGAGACAAAGAGCCTCTTTCTTTTTTCCTCTATTATCTATTTAAATGTGAATTTTTTACTCCATTCAAATAAATCCCGGCACGTTCTAACTTTACGAGTTAAATGAATTAAAACGGTACTTAGTGTACTAAATTTATCGTATGCACAATGCCTCATTTTTTTCCTTTGTAATTGGTTCCAAAAATACTTTAATTGCCACGTGTCTCAATCTTAGGTGGAAAATCCAACGTGGAACTTTAGAGTATGCATGACAAATCCTTTCAACAATTTTCTGTCGGCCACAAATATTAATAGAAATATTATTATTATTATTATTATTTTAAAGTTGAATGAAAGAAATATTAATAGAAGATCCCCATATTGATAATCATATTTGAATTATATTTATAATTAGTTTTTAAAAAAATAATAAAGTTTTAATTTGATCTTATTTGAACTTAATTAATTTTTTAAAATCCTAATATGTTATTAATTTTAAAACATATATTGTAATTCCTAAAATTGTTTGGAAAATAATAATTCTTATCCCTAATTTTATCAGCCATAATATTAAAGAAAATCAATTATTGTTCTTTATATTAATTTGTCACCTTATATTATGGATAATTATTTAATGAATGCGATTATATTTAAATTCTCAATTTGATTATTTACTAAAATATAACATATATTTGATTATTTAAAATACAAAATTTATATAGTTTTATTAAATTCAATAACTATGAAAATTGATGGTTAAACAAACTAAAAAAATCTTAAATTTCAAATAATGAACAAAAGAAAATTAATTAACATTAAATTGTTTTAATAATTTAAATCAATAATAATAATTTATCTAAATTTGGTAATTAATTACTTTGACTAGAAGAAACCCTAATTTGGTAATTTTGTTTTTATATTAAAAAAATAGTAATTATATGCTAATTGGTAATTTGTTCCAATTGGTTTCTTTTTATGGGATAAAAATCTCAACTCGTTTTTTCCCAAAATTTTAATTTTTTTAATATAATTTATATTAAAAAAATTAAAATATCTTCTCCTACCTAACACTCATTTCTTATAATATATTTAGTTAGGTTGGCACGGTTTTCATATTAGTCGATTAATTATACAATTATTATAATTTTCATGCAAAAACGTACCCTAAAAGATTAAATGATTTTCGAGTATTCATCTTCTCCTATCTAACTCTCGCTTTTTTATAGTATATTTAGTCATCTTGACACGGTCTTGATATTAGTCGATTTATTGTATAATCATTTTAATAATTTTTATATAAAAACCTACCTCGGAAGATAAAACGATATTTAACATTATTCATTTTCTCCTACCCCAACTCTCCGTTTTCTTATAGTATATTTAGTCATCTTGACACGGTCTCGATATTAGTCAATTTATTATATAGTTATTATAATTTTCATGCAAAAACCTACCCTAGAAGATTACACGATGATTCGAGTGTTTATCTTATCTTACTAAACTCAATTTTTTATATAGTATGTTTAGTTATTGACATTAGTATAATCACTTTTTATATGAAAACTTACCCTAAAAAATAATATAAATGTTGGCGTTTTCTCATTTACTTACCCAATAGTTATGCACGTGGAAATTGGTTGGTTAGACGGAGGAACGGAGGTCTCTTGGTTTTCATCCTACTTGGTGATTAGGCGCCAATTGGAGAATCCATATTCGACAGCTCTAGCTTTACCTCTCGATTTGACTCGGGTTTAATATTTTAGGACCGTTTTCAAGAGTTGTTTTCAACATTTCATGCTTTCGGAGACATTTAAGTTTAGTACGACGGCTGAATGAGCAGTTTTAAGTTTAGTACGAAGTAAATGATTTTATTGATGGTTTGGTTAGATGACTTGTTTGCTGTATGTATGAATGATACATGTCCAATAGCCACGACACATATCATGTTTTATGATTGTTTAACGTGTGTTATGTTATGTCGATCTTCAACACAAAAAGAAACCGATTGATTGGCACTGACAAACAATTCGAGGACAATAATTAACCATAGCCTTTTTAATTTAATGAAAATAAAGTTGATAGTGTAATATCATCCAATCAACTTGTTACAATTCAAACAACATGTCGGTCGCTCTATTTGACAAAATCTTGCATTATATTGAAGGGAAAAAAACGGGAAGTCACCATCACTCACTCACTATCATTTATCCAAATTCCACACTGATTTAAAAGTTTCAACGTTGACCTGTCAATTCTTGTTATATATTAACTATTATTAACCATAGAATTCGTTAAATCTATATATAAATTATATAAAAATAACCTAATATTAATAGGCTAGCTCTGCACTGATATATTACTATACATTGGAGATAAAAAATGCAAATATAGTTGAATGGTAAAATTTCTCCTTGCCAAGGAGAAGATGCGGGTTTGATTCCTGCTAATCCGCCCAGGATCAGGATAATAGGTTTCAATTCTGGTTATATATTAACTATGCTATCCGTAGGATCCGGATAATAGTTACCAAGATCAAACCTAAATTTTTTAGACAAAAAAATTTGATTTTGCAGTAATAGGATTTAAACTCTTTAAGATTATGAGCCTTGCGAGCTACCAAGTTGCTCTACCCCACGAAGAACTGTGAACTTACCAAGCTGCTCTACCCCACGAAGAACTGTGAACTTACAAGCTGCTCTACCCCACGAAGAATTGTGAACTTATCAAGCTGCTCTACCCCTATATCAATTATCTTAGTCGTAGTTTAGATTTGATTTAAACTTGATCTAATCTATTTATTTATTAAATTTTAAATCAAAAGTATTTTTTATTTTATGTTTTTTTTTTGGAATTTAAGACTTGACTTTGTCCGTTATATTTTCTGAGAGTCAAATGGGAATTTTTATTTAAATAATATTATTTTATTTGGTAGGAGTCTGTATCATCGAAATCAACGCCGATTGGTTCGCGCGTGACGACAACGTGGGAGAGGGAACGGACCACGACCACCATTTTCCAAACACGGCTTTGTTGTCGTTTTCAGGCCATTATTCCAAATATGCGTGTTTCCTTAAAACCCTAAATTATATAAATATTCTTTTTTTTTTCTTACAATAATATTTCTAATATTCTTTACCTCTCCCAAAATTAAAAAAAAAAAATAATCTTTATGAACGGAAGCATTAAAACTTAATAATATACGTCATATATTTAAAATAAATGTAATTATGTTATAATTTATTTATAAGAAATTGACGTGTCTTTAAATATTATTTTATTGACAAATTAAAATCTACATATTTACGTGTCTAAATATATTTAATGATATATATTTTTGTTTTGGTGTTGATTTTTTCTACCAAATAATTTATGATAAAAAATCCAAATGAGAATTTATTTAGTTAATTGTTTATTAACTTGATAAGATTTTTTTTTTGATTTAATAACTTTTTTTTAATTTCAGTCAAATATTTTTTTAATAAATTTAAAAATTATATTTTGAAATATATACATAGATAGACCTCTATAATTAACTCTGAACTCTATTACTTAATAATTAAGTATAGGCTTTTATAAATGAAGTTACTGATGTTGTTACATTTTTTATTAAAAGATTGAGAAGTTCGAATTCCTACCTCACATATTGTTTTAAAAAAATTATGATTTTTAACAAAAAAAAAAAAAAAAAAAAATTATATTATCACGGTTATAAAATATATTTATTAAAATTATAATATTATTATATAGAAAATGAAGGATATTCTAATTACTTTTGTTGTTGAGTACCACAACAATATAATTAATAAACTAAAAGAATAAAATGAAATTTTTAAATAATAAAATTAAATAAAAAATGAAATGGACTCGGCCTGCATTAATACATATAAATATATCTATAAATTAAGCTGAAAAATATTGTAACTAACAACACAGCTTTCAAACCAGAGAGAAACACGGAGTTTTTTCTTTTTTTTTTTTTTCTCCGGAGCTTTTTTCTTTTGAAAATACGCTGTGTGAAGTGAATTCAGAGAAGAATCAGAGCCGAAATGAGCGGCGGAGGTGAAGGAACGTCGCTGCAATTCACTCCGACATGGGTTGTCGCCGCCGTCTGCAGCGTCATCGTCGCCATTTCCCTCGCCGTAGAGCGTCTCCTTCACTTCCTTGGTACATACCTCAAGAAGAAGAATCAGAAGCCGCTGAATGAAGCTCTACAGAAAGTTAAAGAAGGTTTGATTTGATTTGATTTGATTTGATTCCGAATCCGAATCCATAATCCATGTTCCTTTTATTATGTTTTTGGTTTCCTCTTTCTCTTGTTCATTCTCGTGTGTGTGTTTGCCTTTTCGCTTTCCGATTTTCACTCTTTGTTGCTGTTTCGATTGTTGATATTTGTTTCGTCCTTGTTTTTGTATCTGGATGCTGCAGAATTGATGCTCTTGGGGTTTATTTCGCTTCTGCTCACTGTATTTCAAGGCGCTATCTCGAAATGGTGTGTTCCTGAGAGTTTGACTGAGCATTTACTTCCGTGTGATCTGAAAGATAAACCTAAAGCTGAAGAAGATGAACATGGCTCATCGACGACGGAACATTTTCAAACATTCTTTGTTTCAAGCATTTCTGGCACGGCTAGGCGCCTTCTATCTGAGGGATCGGCTTCACAGAATGGCTACTGTGCTCATAAGGTGAAGTTTGACCTCATTTTCTCAATTATGTCCTTCATTGATGATCATTTATGCTTGGTTGGTATATCGAATTAAATGAAGTTGAATTTTGAACTGGGGTTGCTTGATTCTGTTCTTCCTTCTTTGTTTTTTTTTTCTTTTTAGTAGCAAGATTTGAAATAGGAAATAAGTTTCATTTATTTTTTCCCAATTAAATTTATTTTGTTATATATATATATATATATATATATATATATATGTATATATATGGCTATCATTTAAGGGTTAGGTGAAAATAATTATGATATCACTGCAGGCCACCTCCACACTGGTTAGACTTGCTAGAATAGGATTTACCTGCCAAGTTGAAGAAAGTAAACTTTGGTCTTTGTTTACTTGTCAATAAAGAAATGAGAATCTTTTTTTTTTTTTTTTTTTTTTTTTTTTTTTTTTTTTTTTTTTGAGAAGNACTATTCATGATGTATCTATATTAAAATATAAATATTTTTATTCTAAGTACAGAACAGGTTTAGTGAGCACAATATTACAAATTTTGACTTTCATTCTATCACATTTTTTGTTTCAGTTAAGAGTATCACTTTCATATGTAGACTGTAGAAATCTGGGTTCAAATTGATCCAGTTAACACTTCTTTACCCTTCCCCACCCCCCCTTTTTTTTCATATTCAACTTTTGGAAACAATGGAGTTCTAAGTATTTATCAAGCTTATTTGAGTTCTTGTTAAAAAAGAATGCAAAGAACACGAAACAGAAGAAGAAAATATTATTGGACTGGTTCTGAATTGTTCTCTTCAAACATGTTAATGGTCTTTTGTTGTGGAAATTGAGGTTGTATCTGTTAGGAATCACGACTCTTCACAATTGTATGATAGTGTCCACTTTAAGCCTAAGCTCTCATGGTTTTACTTTTTGTTTCTCCAAAATACTTTGTACCAGTGGAGATTTGTTCCTTATGAACCCATGATCAACCTCTTAATTAACCGATGTCGGACTCCTCTCCCAACCAATCCTCAACATATCCACAATTCACCCATATATCCTGCTGTTGTCTTACACTATTTTGGCCTCATTGCTCTGGCCTGCAGATATCTTTGTCTTTATAAATTGTTTTTAATTTGACCTTTCTCCTCTCCAGGATAAGGTGCCATTGCTATCACTTGAAGCATTGCATCATCTACATATTTTTATCTTCATCCTGGCTATTGTCCACGTGACATTTTGTGTTCTCACTGTGGTTTTTGGAGGATTGAAGGTAAACAACTAGTAGGCTTGTTTTCTGATAGCTATCATTACAGGATAACTTGACTGTTTGATCTCAGTTTTAATTCTTTGTGTGATGGTATAGATTCGTCAGTGGAAGGCTTGGGAGGATTCTATTGCAAAAGAAGAGAATTACGATGCCGAAGACGGTAACCATTTGACATTAATTTTTCTTGACATATCACCAATAAATAAAATACGGTTCGAGATTGAAAGAACTGTGTGAATAGACTCTTAAGTTGATATGTACACTAAAAAAGCTCTCGGTTGGTCACCTAATTCTTGTTCTAATCCCAATTCTTTTGCAGTTCTAGAACCAAAAGTCACCCATGTCCATCAGCATGCTTTTATCAAAGACCACTTCCAGGGCATTGGTAAAGATTCAACTCTTCTTGGTTGGTTGGTAAGTCCAATTACTTTCTTACCAAAAATATATCATTGGTAAAGATTCAGCTCTTCTTGTAGGCTCCACATTTAGTTTGAACATGCATTTTCGAATCAAAACATGTGATGCTGTTAAGAGTTATTGCTTGTTTTAACACTCTTTCTTGGGTTTTCCTTCAGCGTTCCTTCCTCAAGCAATTTTATGCTTCTGTAACAAAAGCAGATTATGTGACGTTACGACTTGGTTTCATTATGGTAAAGCCATCTACGATTCAATGTTGATCGATATTTGACGTTCATTCTCATACTGCTTTAATAAAAGTTTCACTGCTGTAGACACACTGCAGGGGAAACCCCAAGTTTAATTTTCACAAGTACATGATACGTGCCCTTGAGGATGATTTCAAGCATGTTGTCGGTATCAGGCAAGTGAATATCTGGAAGTACCCTTTTATACTTAGCAGCAGGAAGTACCCTTTTATACTTAGCAGCAGGATTGCTCAATTTTGTAGTTGAGCCAATCATTATAACTTTGGAGCTGTCATATTTCTTTTCCACATCTCTTCTCTCATTCTACAATCTTTGTTGCAGTTGGTATCTTTGGATCTTCGTAGTTGTCTTCTTGCTCCTTAATATTAACGGTATGACAACACTTCTTTGATTCGTTTATATATGGAATTTCCTTAAATTTCCTAACCCTTACCTCCCTCAAACTCAAAATTTTGGAGGGTATTTCTAAACATTCTAAGCTCATACCCCTAGTGTCACCCCTGTCAGTATCTCATATGTAAAACTTTAAGCTTCTCGATTCGATTTTGAATAGTTGCTATATGGAAGTTCAGTACTTGCTCTTTATAGATTAGGATGAGTTTCCATTGTATTATCCGTAAGAATAATGTTCATTTGATAATAATTTTTCTACTTACACATGCAGGCTGGCATACATATTTCTGGATAGCATTCATTCCTCTTATTGTAAGTAGTTTTATCATCCCTCACAAATCTGTTGATTGAAAGTGAGTTTGAGTTTGGATCTTGTTACCAATATAGCTGCGTAGGCTTATATACTTGACTGAACTTTACAATTTTTTACACGATCGTGGAGGTTTGTAGATGGCAATGCTAAGTTTAAGTATCTTATGAGTTACCTTGACGACCAAATATAGTATTTGATTCAAGCACTCACGGATAAATTCAACTAATGAGCTCCCAAAATGCTGTTTATAACCTTAGTTTTTGTTTTTGTTTCTTGAAATGGCATTAAGTTCTGTTATACTTCTACAATTTATTTCTTCTAGATTTCATTTGGATGCTCATTATTCCTCTTTTTCCAGCTTCTGCTTGCTGTGGGAACCAAGCTGGAACATGTGATAGCCCAGCTGGCTCATGAGGTTGCAGAGAAGCATGTAGCAATCGAAGGGGATCTGGTAGTCCAACCATCCGATGATCACTTTTGGTTTCAGCGACCCCGTATCGTTCTCTTCTTGATCCATTTTATACTTTTCCAAAACGCTTTCGAGATTGGATTTTTCTTCTGGATATGGGTAAGTAAGCAGCAAACGACTTGTATCTGCTGATGATTACGATGATATTTTTGTTTAATTGAGACCCAAAGTCATGCTTGGTTATGTTTCTAGGTTCAATATGGCTTCGACTCGTGCATCATGGGAAAAGTCGCCTATATCATTCCTAGGCTTATTATTGGGTAAAACACAAGATCCATATTTTGGTTTTCCTGCAAAACAATTACCTCATCTTGGTCACTGATTTCGAGTTATATTTGTTTGGATCAGGGTGTTTGTTCAGGTTCTTTGCAGTTACAGCACCCTACCGCTCTACGCTATCGTCACGCAGGTGAGTCCAATAACGAGTTATTACGAGAGCTTATCATAGTCAAATTCAACAGTAAATCGTCTTATTACTCAACAACATAATGAATGAAACTCAATTGATCACTTTTAAGTTCTGTTCCGAAGAACAAAATGGGAAGAAATGTCGATATCATTGAGTAACGTTTTCATTTTCTGTTTCTTGTTTCTTGTTTTCTCGTTTCTTTTTCTCAAAACTAGAAACAAGAAACAGAAACGTTACCAAATGAGTTCTTAGTTTTTCGGTGTCTGGTGAAGCTGATATTATTTCCGAATACAATGAAATGCAGATGGGAAGTTCTTTCAAGAAAGCAATCTTTGAAGACCATGTACAAGTTGGTCTAGTTGGGTGGGCTCAGAAGGTGAAGAAAAGGAAGGGACTGAAAGCAGCAGCTACTAATGGCTCCAGCCAAGGAAGCAAGGAAGACGGGTCTAGTGTGGGGATTCAGCTGGGAAATGTTCTGCGCAAGGCTTCTACTGCACCAACAGAAATTAAGCCTGATGCCTCCAAATCCAGTGATCTGCCTTAGTCCAAATCAAATGATTAAGCTAAGGTAGGCCTCTTTCTCTCTCTCTCACTCACTCACTTGTAGAGTTGCATTATGCGACCCCGTCCCATAGGCGAAACGTCAAAGCGTTTCGATATTCCGTAAAATTTTGAACAGTGGAGCAATCCTATCCATGTGTTGTATCTTGTATCACTTTGATAATCTATTTGTAGGCTTTTGCATTTGTGAGTTGTGTATGATAGTGATATCTAAAGCTTCATATGATTTTTACTCATTCATTCGCTCGAGTTTAGTTAGTTCGTGTTTTGGAGGTTATTTTGAGGAACTAATTCAAGTTAAAATATTATTTTAATCTTTATACGTGCCATGTCTTATCTTGAAATAATAGGATAAGTGATTCGACTTATCTAAATATGCCAAATTAAACTTTAAAAGGCTAAATTTATAAAAGTATTCTTGTATTTTTGACCAATCAGTAAATTCTAGTTTTTTTTTTTTTTTCACCATTTATCCTTTTTATTATATTTATTTGTTTAATAATGGAGGGAAAATAAGAGAAATAAACGGATAAGAAAACGAGCAATCCTCGCTATCCCCAGTTCCTTCTTCGTCTTTCTTCTTCTTCATCACCACATGAATCTCTGAAACCAGAGAAGAAGAAATGTCGGCGATACCATTTTCATCAGCTTCAACCTCAATCCGACATCCAATTTTCACTAACAATGCTTCTTCTTCATCTTCGTCTCTGAGGCTAAGAACTTCCTTCCTCGCCCTTCCTCTCAAATCCCACCACAACAGCAACCTTCGTCTCCAATTTCCGGCACAAAGAACCACTAGACGCACTAACAATGGCGTACCGGTTTGTATGAGTATGGAGGCCGGCATTGGAGTAATGGCCACCAAGCTCGGTATGATGAGCTTCTTCGAGCCGGACGGCAAGGTCGTCCCTGTCACGGTGGTTGGTTTCAAGGAAGGAAATATCGTCACGCAGGTTAAGACGGAGGCGACCGACGGCTACAGTGCCGTTCAGGTTGGGTACCGTAGGGTTAGGGATCGGAAATTGACGAAACCGGAATTAGGGCATCTCGAGAAAGCTGGAGCGATTCCTATGCGCCATTTGCAGGAGTTTCGTCTTGTGAATGTTGATGGATTTGAGCCCAATCAGCGCTTGGTTTTTAATGAACTTTTCAAGGAGGGCGATCTGGTTGATGTCTCCGGCATCACAATTGGAAAGGGATTTCAAGGTTTTGTGCTTCTTGCTCAGTCTGTTTTAAAGTCTATGTTTAATTGAATTTCCTTGGATCTTCATTTTCCTCTAAGCTTCTGGCTTTTGTTCTGTGCCTGGATAATGTTGGAGTTGAATTTAGGCATGCTCAGGAAGAATTAACCATGAATTTTCATTGATATTTTACTGTTGAATGCTCAATTACATATACAATTCCAAAGTCTGAAGCAGTTAAAAATTGGATTTTCATTTTCCTCTTAACACTTCTTCTGGCCTTTGTTCTGCGCCTGGATAATGTTGGAGTTGAATTTAGGCATGCTCTGGAAGATTTAAACATTAATTTTCATTGATATTTTACTGTTGAATGCCGAATTACATATTGTAATCCGAAGTCTGAAGTTGTTTAAAATCTCTCTATAGCATACACGTTTAAAAAACTTTGAAGGTAAGCCCGAAAGAAAAAACCCATAAAAGTTAATATCTTCGAGGAGTGGATTTTGGTTGTTACAGTATTGATATCAGGAAATGTCATCTAAATCTCAAACGTTTTATGTTCCATGCTGAATCCCAATCCTGCTAGATTTTGCAAATTTCTTATGTGGGCGAGGAGGTGTGGGCTGCCTAGCAAGTTTTTATATGCTTTTAAGTTAGGCCATCTTTTGTCATTGTAGACTCCATGATATTGTGCTTGCATCTAAATGTACATGTCAAACTACTTGGTATACTCTCCCTTCATAGATCAGCAACCTATTACAAGAATTTGAACTCAAAACGTGTAATACCCTGTTAAATGACCATTAGACATGAGAGCAAACTTTATGCCTGATTTTGATCATTTAACATGTTCTCAACACCCTTACAAGGCTCAACAGGTGAGTCGGATAATGAATGTAAAGAAGAAAGCAAATTTAAATAATTTTATGTGCTCTTCATTCCTTTCAACACTACTCTCTAACTGTTTTCGATCTAATTCTTCTCTAGGTGGAATCAAGAGGCACAACTTCAAAAGGGGTCCGATGACTCACGGTTCGAAAAGCCACAGGGCACTTGGATCAATTGGTGCAGGAACTACACCTGGTCGCGTGTATAAGGGGAAAAAGATGCCTGGAAGGATGGGAGGAACCAAGAGAAAGATCAGAAAACTGAAGATTGTAAAGGTAGATGATGAGCTTAATGTTGTGATGATCAAAGGAGCTGTCCCTGGTAAGCCAGGAAACCTTCTTCGAATAGCTCCTGCAAAGATAGTAGGAAAGAACATTCCTAAGAATTAGCTTTAGCTTTTCAAAAAATTCTTACTGCATCTTTTGAGCTGTTGTATCTCTTCAACTGGTTATTTGTATTATGATTACTTCACACTTAAGTTCTCCTGAAAATTTTTAATCCATTCCAACTTTTTTCATCATGGGCTGCATTCTTCTGTTCATAGTTTATTAAGTTTGTTCTTAATTTTGAGAAAAAAAAAAAAAACGTTTTTGTTTTAAAGTTTTGGTTAAAAATCTAAAAAAACAAGTGAAACCCATCATAAAAATTGCATTAAAGCTATAATAATAATGCAAATTGTTCATCATTTCTAGTTATTCTCTCAGTTCTTTTCATTACTTTACAAGATTTCTTGTGATTCCATTCATCAATAAGATTTTGATCCTCAAGACATGTAAATTTTCATCTCCCAAATGTAATCCAAAAGATTTCAATGGAAATGGCATCAACCTGTTGTTTCATCCATGCATGATTGTAGGCAGAAAGTTCAATGAAGAGGTTGGGTCGAGGACGGGAAAGAAACAACAAGGTTGTGTAGAACACAATAGTTGAGTTCGAAAATGACATTAGATCTTGAAGCGAGCATTCTCCATGGAGGCATGGCTCCGTCGTAAGTGAAGAACGATTACTCGTTCTTCAAAAACAGCCATGGAGGAGTAATTCTCACTCTTTTTTCATTTTTAGTGCACAAATTGCGAGCCACATTGCTCGGAAACAGAAATTCGCTCTCTTCCCATGTAAACTTCGACACGATGTCGTCTCCAAAAGCATAGAAAAGAACAAAAAACACCTCGAGGAAACATACTATAGCATCATTCTCAAAAAAATACACAAAAAAAGGGGAAAAAAAGACCATATATATGCAATCCACAATGATTGCATTGACTCCCTAAGGACTCTCAAGTTACAATCAAATCTATCCATTGCTCTTGACTCTTGAGAAATCAAAGATTAAACAAGTGCATTGACTGCAACGAGATCGACATAACGGTAATATATACAAAACCTTAGGAACGACGCAGCTACCTACATATAAAACATTAATATCATAATTAGCGGAAAGATTCTAAGCCTCGAACTTCTTATCTCGTTTCTTCACAGCAAGAAGGAGATGTGACCACAGTGGAGGATACTGTTATCGATAAAAAAAAACGTGTAGACCTTGTTTAACCATCTCCTTATACTCGATCATGCGCACCAAGAGGCAGTAGAAATGCACGAAAATATAAAGAAATAACAAAGACGGGATCCCAAAAGTCATACCGTTCATTCATTTTGCTATTCATGATCTAGTCGTATAGCGGAGATGTTGCTCGTAGAAGTTGATCAACTGGTATTAGTTAACACCACAGTTAGAATAGAAGGAAAAACAATTGAGCATTGTTTAAGGAAGTTCAAAAGCATAATAAAGTGAAGAATTGAACCAGTTACCAGTAGCGGATTGTTAGCCTTGAGGAACTTGTTATCGACCATCACTTCGGTTCCATCAGATCTAAAACAACGAAATCATTCAAAAAATGTCATCTCGGAATATGAAATAGACCGACACGAGATGGGAATCTCTCCCTCACAACAATTCTCAACAATCCTCCCCTCAAACAAAATACACCATAGAGCCTCCCGTGAGGCCTATATAGAATCCTCAAACAACCTCCCCTTAATTAAGGTTCGACTCCTTTCTTAGGAGCCCTCGAAAAAAGTATACCCTTTGTTCGATACTTTGAGTCACTTTTTGACTACACCTTTGAAGCTCACAACTTCTTTGTTCGACATTTGAGGATTCTTTTGACATGACTACGTTAAGAACATGGCTCCGATACCATGTTCGGAACCACGAATCTCCACAATGGTATAATATTGTCCACTTTCATCATATATTTAAAAAAATAGGACAGAATTAGATTTACCATATACCAAGAGGAAAGAAAAAGCTGACATACCTCATGGCCACAAACGTTACCAACACGTCCTGAATGTTGTTCGACACAGATGCAGAATAGCCTAACGGTTTGATAATCTTGATGATACGCAGCTCGTTTCTGGCTTCATCGGTCTTGTTATTGCGAATGAAACCTTCCCCATGATATCCAGAATTCTCGACCCCAATCGGTTCTACTTGAGCACCGGATTCTACTACAGCCAATGTCAATTCTGCATTTTGAGCCACAGGTAGTTCAGATAAAGTTGAATCTTGTCTAAACCTTTTAACCGAACCCGACTTCCTTCTCTTAGCCCCAATGCACCGATTGTCAGCAGTTGCTTCCACAGTGCCACTTTTAGAAAGACTGGCTGCCGGGCCATTGTTATCCATCGTCCTAGCTTCTTGAAAATTGACTGCAAGCTTATCGCCAATGGCTACGTTCGTTAATACTGTTGCCTTAAGCTCACTAAGTTTCGGATCATACTCATGTTCATCTTTCTTTCGTTGAGTAGTATTCTTCCCCACGTTATCAATATTGATTTTCTTGCCTCTTTCAAGAGCAATTAAATCTCCATTCTTATCTCCTTCGTGATTACAAACTATCGATTGCGAATGAGTGTAATGATGAGTAAGGCTCGACATGTTTATCGGAGCAGACGGCAGACGTTGATCAAGAACACTGATTTCAACATCTGTGACATTGTAAGTAGAAAAGTTAGCTCCCTGCTGCCTTTTCTTGGTCTGAGTATGAACAACCCCATGTTTTCTCTTTCGCTTCCGTTGCTTTCCTGTTGTTAAACTTCGAAAACAAAACCAAATTTCAACAACATTATACCATAAACTTCACGAGAAACCATCACAGCAATCAGCACAACATGTCAATGAATGCTTACTCTAGCTACCAACAAAAGATACTGATCGAAGTAGACGAGAATACCTCCGTTCGAACGCATCGATGAAATCGGAGCACGTATGGAGATTCTCCAAGGGCTCCCAAGTATTAGCCGTCTCCGGCCAGCCTCGCCTTTAGGAAAGCTCAGTTTGGTCAGTAATTTGAGTAGCCATAGTCAAGCTCTAAGAAACCAAGACAACCAAACAACAAAGAGGTGCAGCTATGGCTTACCATTTGATCAAGTACTGAAGCTGTCCCTGTGTTTTGAATCAATCATCCCCACAGCAAAGAAAGCCCCGAAATCAGTAAATGAACAAACATTCATAAACCCATCATTCAATCAATTCAAAGAAATCAGAAGACCTAAACACAAGGAGAATCGAAAATAAGAACACCTTACGAACTCTTTTTCGACGAATTGCTTCAATTTCATAGAACCCATCATCGAGATTGGTTCTCTGAGCAGCAAAATCAGCCTCATCGCCGTCGTGTTCATCTTCTTCCTCCCCATCGCCGCCGTCGTCAAGCTCTCCTAGGTTTTGTTCTTGATGAGTCTTCGATAAATGTGAAGTCGAAGGCTCAACGCTAATAATGGCGTCGTTGTTGTTGTTGTTGCTGCTGCTGTTCATATTAGCATAATCCGAGTCGCCTCCATGGACGACTTCACCACCATCCATGGCCACCGTTGAACCGCTCGCACTTTTCTTCCTTCCACTCCCTTTGATTTTCATTCTAAAATCCTCTCTCCCTCTGTACTTCTCCTTACGAACTTAGAAATTGAAGATAAAACGCACATGGTCTTTAATTTCAAGGGGTTTTGTGGGTTTTTGGAGATTGGGAATCCGCAAAATTCCACTGCAAATTCACCTACGCTCAAGGGTTTATATGGGTTCTCAACAATTTTCCAAAACGAAGATAAATGTCACTACAAAATGGACTGAGCTGCCACATTTATTGAAATTTTCCCTTTCCTGTATGAAACGTTTTATATTTTGCCTCTCTTTTTCTGCCAAATCTGATGGCGGTGTCGTTCTTTTGCTCCCAATTTCGGATTACGCCTTCTGTTCTAGCTCCAGAGCTTTGATGTTGGTGAAGCCAATTCAAGATGATATTGCGTGCGTTGAAATGGGAATAAGATGAACTTATTCTTTTTTTTTTTTTGTGGATAATTTGGTGGGATGAAATTAAGGCTGAGACATAGGAGGGATTGGTGAGATATTCTCGATGTAAATGTGTTTTGTGTTTTAAAAATTAACAAAATTCCAAAACTAAAATAATATTTTAAAAATTACTTTTTTTTTTCATATATTAAAAGAACTAAATGATTATCAAAATCAAGCATGCTCGTATTGTTTCAATTAGGCAACATGAGTGTGACCGATACCCAAATGGGACATGCAAGGTTCCCGTTTGTTAATATATTTGACGGAATTATCCGAACAAAAACATAATTTAAAGTTCAATATTAAAAGGTTAAATATACAACATACACCTAAATTTTGTGGAACGTGTCAAGCATGCCCCTATTGCATGGCTGTCTTTGATCGCGAAAAACAACCTCAATTACCCATTGCTTCGATCTATGAAGAAGAGGCTAAAAGGATTCTTTCGACACTTGCATAGACATATATATACTCTCATGTTCTGGTTGAATGCCGAACCACTAATCTTGGTACCCATTGAATGATCCAAAGTCAACCCATTATAGAGATCAACACCAATTTTCATTAGCCCATCTTGAATTGCATATTGCCAATTCTTAAGCTCCGACATAATCTAAAGACAATAGTCCTCTCAACCCATTTATAGGACTGTTAAAATGTCATCAATAGCTCAATAGGATCAGGAAGATACCTAACTATTTTAATCTATTGAAATACCCTTCTACCCTACCTAGGAGTAGGTTTTCAATCAGCAGTCTCATGTAGAAGGAGTAGTAGTATTCTACCGAATGTCTTGTAATATGCTCTCAATTGGTGTTAATAAAGAATGCGAGTGTTTCCCACAAAGAGTTGTGTTCAACAAGAACCTGGTTAGAGTGCGAGTGTTTCCCACAAAGAGTATGTTCAACAAAAAATACTCAAAAGTCCCAATTCACACCTCGACTATAGAATCTGGTATTGATATCACAACTGTCGTCAAGAACCCAAAAAAAGTTAATCTTTTCGTTACACTATATCGTAAAGACATTAATCCAGAGGCCACAATCATGGATGAAGACAAATCTCTTGATTTAAATTAAATATGTATGAACAGAAAGTAGCTATCAGTCTGTAAACAACATGATACTAATCTATCCTCAAAGTGGGAAAGAACAATAAATGTTACAGAAAAAAGAAGGAACAAGCCTTGTTTAAGCCTCTCATATCAGATCATAATAGATACTCTTGAAGGAATCTGATGAACACTCATCATCATGGCATCAGATACTGCTGCAAATGTTTAGTTCTCTTCTTGTTTTTGAGTTTTCTGAACGCACATAGCTCAATTTGTCTAATTCTTTCCCTACTTACACCCATCATTTCTCCTATTTCTTGCAATGTTTTCATCCTTCCATCTTCCATGCCATACCTCCATCTAATTATTTGTCTCTCTCTCGGATTAAGCGAGTCGAGTACCTTTTCGAGCTCCTGCTTCATGAACTGTTTTATCAACAGATCTTCTGCAGTTACCGCTTCCGGGTCGGAAATGACTTCCTGGAAAAGAGCATGAGATTCAACTAGTTAAAACATGCTGAGACTGCAATGGGAGAGGAAGGAAGATCCGAGTAGCAAGACGACAGACCGAAGGTTTGAGATTTTGGTTGATCCCGAACTTCTGTTCCAGGGATCGAGGTGCTTTCGGAGTCATCAGTACTGTAGCAAGCCTCTTCATCGACAGACCGGCTGCTACGGCGATTTCTTCATCGGCAGGAAGTCTTCCATTTGCAGTATATAATTGCTTTCTAGCTTCCTTTACCTTATACGTTGCTTCCACCATGTGAAACTGTCCATTCATCAATGAAATCTTTAGTTCATTGGGAATTTTTTTCTCTCCTTGTGCTGTTCTTTGTTATTTCTTACTCGAAATAATTCAGGTGGAAAGAAACATACCGGCAAGCGAATAGTCCTCGACTGATCCGAAAGAGACTTTCGGACTGCCTGCTTAATCCACCAATGAGCATAGGTCGAAAACTTGAAGCCTTTTGAAGCATCGAACTTCTCCGCACCTCGTACAAGGCCTCGACATCCTTCCTACATCACAACACGAGCAATAAACAAGGCATTCGAATTTTCAGTTTCCATTTATAAGTATTTTGGTTCGTGTGCATCGATGAAAAAGTACCTGAACTAGATCTTGGAGATTCATTCCACCTCCCTGATAATTTTTCGCTATCGATATGACAAGACGAATGTTGCTTTTTATCATTTTATCTTTACAAAAAGTACCGTAGTTTAGACGCTTTCTCAGCGTCCTCTGGTTTACTCCAGCAGCAGCAGCCCATTGTGCAAAGGTTGGTTCGTTTCCGTAACGTCCTGCAAGCTCCTCCTTGAGTCTTTCTAGTTTCAGCAAGTCCTAGAAATAGTTGGAACAAGTGTCGGTAATCGAACACAACACGAGGAAAATAACAAACAAATCCAGATATTAATCCAAAATGCTATCTGAAGAGCAATTGCAGTTGATAAATGAATCAAATTTGAGGAAAGAAACAACAGCTACATTCTATTTAAAAGCAGGATCAGATCAAAAGTTATTTGACATAATGTTTCTAATCCAGATTTAGTAGTGACTGTAAAGTAGAGTTCTGAAAAGCTGAATTTATTTTTACTTTTACTTGCAGATCGATGTTAACGTTTTCAAGTGCGATGTGGTTTTCGATCCAGTAGAAAGACAAAAACCGTTAAATGACTGAAAATCAAACCTGAATTCCTTCTGACAGTTCAAGCTCATCACTTGCAGTAAGAAGTTTAGAAGCGCTTGTAGTTGCTCTCAAATAACGCAATGGGTCATTGTAGTCCACTTCTTGTCCAGAATTACGCTTCTTCCGGCTGCTAGAACCTGACTTCAGTGACACTACACTAGTAGCAGCCTTCTCTGAGGCTCTAGTTCTTCTAGCTTTTCGTTCTGTTTGACGATTCGATCTTACGGCTATACTCTTAGAGAATTCATCCTGTAAGAGTTCAAGTTCTTCAGATGTTGGCTCCATATCATCAGATTCTGCTGTGCTGGGTTCCAAAGCATCACCTTCCACAGGACGATTATTAACTCCTACCGGCTCTCCGATTATATCAGCCCTTTCGGATTCCATAAACTGATCCCATTTGAAATGTAGAGCATTGGATTTCGAAGACGATTGAGATTTTGTTACTGATCTGGCAGAGTTGCTATTATTAACCAGAAGAGCTGCATCATTTGCAGCCTTGACGGCTGCTTTAGCAAGAGCAACTGCCTCAGCTGCAGCAGCTGCTATTGTAGCCTCTTCACTTGTAAGAAGCGTTGAGGCTAGGCTCGATTCAACTGCACCTAAATATGATCTTAGTCTTTCTGCAGAGACTGAGTCGGTGTTCGTATCAAAAGGAGGCAATTTAAGTCGATCCACATTGAATGTTGTAGCTGTTCCAGTCGATGTCGCCGCAGACAAGATACATTGTGTCCGTAAACTATGAGGATCTCTGACTTTAACTGCATGATTCAAAATTTTATAAGAAAAGTTTTCAATAAAATCTATGGACACTATTTGCACTAACATTCAACCAAATGAACTACTCAGTTATAGCCTTATCTGCTACAAAAGGACTACCAAATTTCATATGCTTGGGACTTTTCTTCACCATTACTTAAACAATGGGAAATCATTTAAACCTATAGATAAGAAATACCAACTCAAAACTAACGTGGAAAAAGTAACTAAGGTCCCGCTTGATAACGATTTGATTTTCCGCTCTGTTGTCAAAAATTGCGGTGTGCTTTCTCACAATTTCTTTAGAATGGTTTTCATATTTCTTTTTTGCCCAAGTGAAAAGAGTGTTTATACGCTTAATTTTCAAAACAAAAACAATCAATGGTCATCAAAGGAGCCTAAAGATGGGAACGGAGGCCTTTGATCGGCCTTCTGGAGTTCCAAAGTCGGTATGAATCCCCATTTTTCTCATTGTTGATACGTTGTGTGCAACTATATTAGGTGTCTAACCGACAGCGCTACACCTAGCTAACATTCTATCCAACTATGGTTACATTCAAAAGATCATTTGGGCAAAGTAAGGACTAGTTGAATGAATGGTTTAAAAAACTACTTCCATCCTTATTTTTCTTAGAGGCTCTTTCGTTATTTCTATTAGAATTTTTCTCTGAAACCGATTAGACATTATTGCCAATCATGTTGAGGATTGTTGGGAGGGAGTCCCACGTTGGGTAATTAAGGAAAAAGTCATGGGCCTATAAGTAAAGAACACTATCTCTATTGGTACGAGACCTTGTGAGGGAACCAAAAGCAAAGTCACCGAGCTTATGCTCAAAGTGGATAATATCGTGTCATTGTGTAAGTTTGTGATAACTAACAAATCACATCACGGAGAACCATATGGCCAAAATGGCCAAGCAGAGATTACCAAACGACACATCGACACATCGATAGCAGATAACACAACGCAGTATTTCAATAGAACGAGGAACATTCTACCCCTTAAACAAGCACAACAGTAATTGAAAAGGGAAATTCAAGTCTCATTCTATATCAGATACAATAACAACATCAAAACCAGCACCATTTGTAAATCCTGGCACACATAATGGCCACCTAAAACATAGAATCTCAGGACAACATTTCAAACAATCCAACTAAACACAAGCCATTTTGGCCCAGCTAGGCAAATAAGCAACCCAAAACATCAAAAACAGCAAAATACCAATTTAAAGTAGGAAAAGAGAGAATTAGAGAGTAAAACACTCACAGTAAGTAGAATTAGCAGTGGGAAGAAAGGTATGATGGTGAGAAGAAGTAGGCGTAGGCGTAATTGTGATGGCGGGGGTCTTAAATTGGATTGAGAATGTTTCGGGATGGCACTTGAATTGGGGAAGTAAACACGACATCGCCTTGTTGTTCTTCGTTCTCCAACTGGGTTCTGCTAATCTGCAACTATGGCGGACATAAATGAAGGAATCACTCAAAATTGAACTGGGGCGGCGACCCAGAAGGGGAAATGTGAAGCATATGAAAAGGGTGTCATTGATTGATGAAGGGGATGGAAGAGGTGATTGGTGAAGAAGAAGAAGAAGAAGAAGAAGGAATGGAGAGTGGGCTGAGAGAAGAAGAGTGGGGAGGAAAACTTGTGTGGGTAAATAGGCTTTTGGAGGCTTTGTTGATAAAACAATGGATAAGAGGTTCCCATTTTGCCTCCCCCAACTCACTTGTGAGAGAGAGAGAGAGAGAGAGAGGAGAGAGAAACAAATTAAAAAAAAAAAAAGGAAGAAGGAATTTTACATAATCATTGGAAAAGAAAAAGAATTAAATGGAATTTTCTCACTATTTGTTTCCCCCTTTTTGGTTATTCAAATGGTTTTCTTCATGATAGAATTTTGAGAAAAAAAAGAAGAAGATATTTTTACAATTTAAAAACTTATTATTATTACTATTATTAAAAAAATGAAAATTTCACGTTTATAGAAGATTGAATCGAAATTCCTCTCCATCCTCTTAAATATTTACATATATTTATTTGTCTAGCACTATCTAGACGACTCATTTTTTGTAAGCACATTGTTAGTCTAATAAACTTCTTTGTTCGATGCCTGAGTCATTATGACGACACTTTCAAAGCTTACAAATTTTTTTTCATATAAATTGTAACGCCTCATGTCCAAGATTCAAAACTTGGACTCGGCTCAGGCACAACATCCTATATGACATGGTCAAGTTACTTACGTTTTGGTTCTAATAACGAAGATTATCCCCACATACTAAAAAAAAAAAAAAAAAAAAAAA